CAAAAGCAGCAGTTGCAGTAAAATGTGAAACCTCAAGTGAGTGCAATCAAAGATGACAAGTAGCACTCATCAGCAGACAGGTTAGGTTTAAGGTTCCAAGTTTTCCACTCTAATAGCCTGGTGGATTAAAGTGTTTATTAATAAATTTGGTAACACAACAACTGAGAGTTCAATCCCTTGGTCAAGCAGCATGTACTTAGACTCAGTGGAAACAGGGCAAGCAATAACTGAGCAATACTAAACAAGAACTAGTCGATATATATTACATTAACTAGTTGGGCAGTTGAACAAGAACAATCTAATCCTGTAGATTAAATAAAGGGTTCAGTTTGAAATTCCCTTAAGGTTACCCAGATCAGCAAGCACCTGATGAAAGCTGGAAGGAACAGCAGCTTAAACATTATAACAACAATTCAAATAAAGTTTTTTTATTTACATTTTTAAGTTTTGCTAATTATTATTCAACTTGAATGTTCATTTTTTTATAAAAATTCTTAACTGAAAAAAACTTGTTTTATATATATATATATATATATATATATATATATATATATATATATATATATATATATATATATATATATATATATATATATATATATATATATATATATATATATATATATATATATATATATATATATATATATATATATATATATATATATATATATATATATATATATATATATATATATATATATATATATATATATATATATATATATATATATATAAACACACACATATATACATATATATATATAGTTAAATTAAAAACAGACAACCTTAAGGGTCCATTGATTACATGTTATTTCTCCAGATCATATCTCCAAGCATAAAAAGAAAACAATTTTCTTTTATGCTTGGAAATGAGATCCGAGGAACCAGGAAAAAGAATCCCTTTCCTGGAGAAATAAAATATAATCAATGGACCCTTAAAGTTGTCTGTTTTTTAATTAAACTAATATTTGCTCTGGCCTTACATTAAGATCTCTGGATTACATCCTCCTTGTGATTATCCATAAAGATTAGCAAACCTTTCTTTACCTAACTATATATATATATATATATATATATATAGAGAGAGAGAGAGAGGACGAGAGAGAGAGAAAATAATAATAAAGAGATTTGGAAAAGCACTTTATATCTTTATATATGTTTATATTTAATATTTATAATACATGTATCTTCACAGAGAATTATTAAATTGATTATTAAAATTGTTTTACTTACATGTGAATTTTCAGAAAAAATAATTTTACTTTAACAGTTTTGCTTTAAATATCCAAAAAGTTTTAAAATATTTATTCAATTACTCCATGCAAACACTTAAGTTCAAAATAGAAGAAAGAAATCACATGATGTAACTGGTTTTGTCTGTCACTTATATTAAGGAAAATATGATATTTATACCTGTGGTTTATGTAATGAATTGATTTTTGGTTTAAACTTGCTGATAAAAATATTCCTTTGTAAATGCACTTTTGTTCGGTTCTGTAGTCATATATATATATATATATATATATATATATATATATTAGTGAATATACATAATATCCTACATCAGTAGCACGACTCAGAGTTTCATGCAAATATGCAATCTTCAGTATCCTGCACCTGAAGATTGCATATTTGCATGAAACTCTGAGTCGTGCTACTGACGTAGGATATTATGTATATTTACTAATATATACTTAATAGCTCTGCTATATAACATTGAGCACTATTTTTGTAACACCTGAGAAAGATATATATAAGATGGTATAATCCTACCAAATAGCAATAGCTAAAACCACACACCTATATACAAACAAAATACTAACATCCTATTATAACTGTACTTGTCCTTCACTTACTTAGTGCAGTCATGACTGCCTGTCAATGCCTTATATATAGTGGACTATTCTGTAATTTGATTATGTGGAAAGATAAGCTAGAAGTGGGGAGAGAGAGAGAGAGAATCAAATTAAGCTGATAAGAACAGATACTACATTTTGATCTTAGCCATAATAAAAAGGTCATTTTTCAGACATACAGTCTCAAATGACAGAAACCAAATACAGTAATCTCCAGAAATCCATTTTCCATAAATTAAATAACATCATCTGCTGAAGTATATTTAAATTATTATTATTAAGAGAAATGTTCATGAGACAGGGATTTGGCTAAAAAGATAGACAATACAAGTATTTAATATCTCCTGTAAATACCTCACCCACCTGGGTATGATGATAAACTACATCCAGTAGAAAGGCTTCTGATCAGGAGGTTTTGAGGAGCATGGAATCAGCTCTTAATTACTGTTGTTCTCAAGTCCACCATGACCTGGGTTGATAGTGCCTATTATATCAGCATATTTGATTTGGTTTGGGTTTTTTTATGGCATATCAACCTCAATGGGTCATTTAATGCTGACAAACTTTCTTTTTTTTTCTGATAATAATTTTGTTTTATCAAAAATTTATTTCTGTTAATATTTTTCTCCTCAAAAATGTATAGCTAGTAATATCATTTTTTCAAAAACGTATAGATGGTAATATTACTTTTTCAAAAATGTATCGCTGGTAATATTATTTTTTCAAGAACGTATAGCTGGTAATAGTTTTTTTCAAAAACATAATGCTGGTAATATTTTTTTTTTTTAAATATTTATTCTGGTAATAATTTTTTTTACAAAGTATTTCTGGTATTAAAACCTATTTTTACACTTTTATAATGCCTTTTAACTTAATTTCAGGGTTAACTATTTGCCCTAGCTGAGACCCGAGTCAGGTTGGACCTGGGAACACCAGCAATTAAGAGGAGGTTCCATGCTCCTCAAAGCCTCCTGATCAGAGGCCTTGCTGTTGGACGTGGTTTATCGTCTTACCCTGGACGGGGATGTAGTCATACCCAGGATGCCCCATTGGGTGGAGTGGGGAGGGTTCTTACCTCTCTGCAGAGGTGCAGTCGGCATATTCTATAGCCCCAGCCAACAGGGCCAGAGCATGTTTGGTTTTAGTGAGAAAAAGAGTGAGAGAAGATAGAGGAGGCAATAACACTCCCATGTATTTAATGTCTGCTTCAGTGAAATAGAAAAACTTGTCAATTTAGATTTTTTTTTATTTTTACCCTCTTATTTCATTAAATAATGACCTGCACTCATATTTCTGATTATGATGTGTGAGTAAAGAGTGAGAGAATATTTCTAGTTTACATTTTCCAATTATAGACATTAATATACCCATGATATAGTAACACATTAATATATAAACAGAAAAGAATAACTGAAAGAAAAGAATTACAAACACATTCTCTCTCTCTCGCTATCTATCTATATATATATATATATATATATATATATATATAATCACTTTGAGAATAACATGTTTGTCATTCTTTTCTTTCAGTTAGGGAAATGGGGTTTTAAAAACAGTGGCTCCTACTGCTATTGAGCATTACTCTTCAAGTAAATTGAATTGAGTTCTCCAAGCCACGATGGCCTAGAGGTAAGATTGACTGATGTCAAATCAGTCGGGTTTCAATCCCAGCTTGAAACAATCAGATATCTAGCCACACTGAGGAACTGTGATACAACAAATCAGTCTGTCTGTGGATGACTATATATCTATATATATACTTGTCACTAATTTGTCTCACAAAGAGAAATTATAACACAAGTACAACAAGCAGTGTGAAAGGGTGCACAAAACAAGAGGGCTTTACTTGAAATATTTCCTGAAGGAAAAAATGGCATGCTGATGATGTGAGACCATGTGATTTCCTCTGGTCTCTTAACTGCCTTGGCAGTCATGTCTTGCTTCTCTGCTGTCTACATAGCAACTGACATGAGTAGTTACATCTTGCCTCTAAGTGTGGTAAATAGCAACTGGTGTTCATCACTCCATGACTGATGTGACTCTGATGTCATCATGTGACTCTCGTAAATTCATTTTTCCCAAAGTGAGATAATTACCCTTAACATTGCTATTGTAATATTTGGTTAAAGTTGTTAAGCTCAAATATCTAATGATGTAGTCGGATAATTTCCATGGGTATTTTGTAGTCATGGACCTCACACAAAACTTATTCATTAAATATTATGATACATTAGAAAATTCAAATAGGAAAACCAGGATATTTTCCCAGGTACTGCTAGTAATAATAATAATAATAGTAATATTAGTAGTAGAGAAACCAAATATAAATCAAATATCTCCAAAACTAGCTTGAGCCAAAAAACAATTGTTACTGAGATAAATTTAGTTTAAAGTTTTTTGAGTTTGAAGTTAATCCCATGTTTTATACTTGAAAGTATCCAGAAGCATCCAAAATACATTCATAGCATGAATTCTTCTGATGTTGATAAAACCTTCAGGACTCAAAAATAATTCTAACAAAAATTGATTGAGATTTAGCCATATTAAAAATGGTTTGGAAATGTTTGCATATATAGAAGTTCACAATGATACTTGTGGCACTTAGGCATGGCATAATTTTTTATAACCCATGCAGGAAATTGAAGTGCTTAAGAGAAGAAAAAAAACAATCAATAATGAAATTGAACAAGTCAACTACAGTTCTGTCAGCATCTGCATCAAACCTATCACTCGTTTCCGGCAATTTTAATTAATTAAATTCTAAAAACAAGTCTTCCCAGAAATAAATACAGCATGAAAAACACACTAATTAATGCTTAAAAACATAAAAGAGATCCATTAAAAATTCAAGAATACTCACAAATTAAATTGATTTTTAAGTGTTAAGCAAATCTTGAATGTTATCCAAAGTTATCTCCCCTTCCCATTCGATTCTCATGGCTTTCTGCCTTTATTCGAGTCAATTCTTTGTTTTCTTTTATCTCCCTAAACAACTGAAGCAGGGGAGAGAGTTCAAACAATGACGTCATTGGTTATTCTGTGGTTGCTTTTGGCAAATCCTACATTGTTGCCTGCTGGGAAATCTTGTACTGCCCTTTTCTTGAATAAATTATTGCAGTCTTTTTGCTTCTGTGGATAATGATTATCAATGTTTACCTCATTAATAATATTGTCCTCCTTCAGCTAGAAATTGTCTTTTTACTTTTCATTTCTTTATTCCTTTCCTTTTTTTTTGATTTTTTAACTTTTCATTTCTTTTTTATCTTTTTACATATTTTCATTTCTGTTTTTACTAACTTTTTTGCTCTCATTTTTTCTCTTATTTTTTGTCGTTTTACTTCTTTCTCTTTTTCCTTTTTGCATTTTTACTTCTCATGTCTCTTTTTCCTTTTCTTTTTTGCCTTTTTTCTCATACATTTTCTTTCCTTTTTTGTCTTTTTATTTCTCTTTTATTTTTTGTCACTTTACTTCTTTCTCTTTTTCCTTTTTGCATTTTTACTTCTCATGTCTCTTTTTCCTTTTCTTTTTTGCCTTTTTTCTCATACTTTTTCTTTCCTTTTTTGTCTTTTTATTTCTCTTTTATTTTTTGTCTTTTTGCTTCTCCTTTCTCTTTTTCCTTTTCTTTTTGTCTTTTTGCTTCTCATTCCCCTTTTTTTTATCTTTTTACTTCTCATTTCTCTTTTTCCTCTTCTTTTTTGTCTTTTTATTTCTCATTTTCCATTGCTTTTTTTTTCTTTATTATTTTCCCCATTTCCCTTTTATTTCTCTCCAATTCGTCTTTTTCTTATCCTTTAAGAAATCTTTATGTTATCATTTCCCTTTTCATCCTTATTTTTGACTTTCTGAGGACATTTTCTTCACATCAGATTTTTAACTTTTATCAAGGTACCATATCATAATGGTTTCTTTTCAGGCTTTATTAGAAACACTATTCTAAACATTTTCTGAAGTGATATCTTAAATTTTGTTGTTGTTTTTAAATCAATGTCTTGTCCAATACTATATGTTAAAAAGATTAAAACACTTCTCTGAAAAACTTGTAGAATGATGAAAATATTTAATCATAGAAAGTTTTAAAAAACATTAAAAAATAACATTTATATTTCTTTTTTGGAGATATGACATAGCCTAATGGTTATCAGTGCAGAAAACTGAATCATCAAACTAAGCATTAATTTAGATGAGACAGCTCCCATTCTTGGAAAAGGACTGAATCTGTTTCTCCCTGCATGATGCTTGTAAACACATACTTTTACAAAAAAGATAATTTCTATGGTGTGGTTGACAGGGAAAAGAGTGAGTGAATATTTGGCAAACCATTTTCCTGTAAAGTTTGATCTTGAAAAATTTAGATGCAATGTCAATTGTTAACCTCTCTCTTCTTAAGTTCTGTTCTTTTATTATTCTTGCTCCTTAATAATCATTTTTCCTATATTCTTTTGCACCCAATAACCCCTGTGTCTTAGTGGCTTTGTTTCTTTGCTTGAGGAGAATTTTAGAAAAAAATCACAGTAAAAATTTGTATCACCTAATTGATGATTCATAAATGTAGATATAGCATAGTAGTGATCAGTGCAGAAAGTAGGACTGTCATGTTCACTTTCAAGTTCCAGCCAAGGCCATTGTATTTACTTTCACACAAATCACTTTAAAACAATCTATTCTACCCACCCCACATACACACACCTGCCTCAGCTAGGCTTTAACAGCAGGTCAGATTGGAACAACCAGCTTACTCAAAGTACAATTTCGAATTCAAAACCTGTTATATATGGGGTTAGCAATTTCACCATGTAAGTAAACCTATTTGCTAAAGAAAGTTCTGTAGCTACACCTAATGTGAAGTGGCTGTGGCCATCTACTCTACAGGGTAAAAAAGTGATGTAATGTAATAACCTGTCACCCCCATGAGTAACTACACTATAGGTAGTAACTACCTATAAGTATCAGTAAGTCAACAGACTACAGAGTTTAGCTGGGATCTGTTGAGTATGACACAAACTTACACAAGAACTACCGACCTTCCAATAGCAGCACCCACTAATGGATTGTCTTGCGATGATCATGCGCATAACTGTTACCTTATTTCTTATTGTACTGATTTGTACAATAAAACTTTACTTATTTTATCCACCATGTTTTTCAAGTATATATTCCTATTAGCATGGAATAAATGTTATTGGTAAAATTTTCAAAATATGCTCTTTATATGATAAATATACCACATGTATTTCAGCTTATAATATCTGCTTTTATTAGAAATATTTACAATAACATATGTAAGATTTTCTTAGACAACTTAATCATACTGTAATTAAATATATAATACTATAGTTAAGGATTCTTATTCCATGACTTCAGATAGATAGATATGGGTTATAAGAGAGATATAACTTCAAAATAAAATCAAAAGATTGTAAACATACTGAGTGACATGAAAACAACTTTGGAAGTTACAAAAGATGTTGAACAAACATCAGAGAACAATGGCAAAAGAAATAGAAAAATGGAAAGATAAAAGCAAGTTAAAAATGACTTTAAGAATGATAAAAATAGAGATTAGAAGAAAAAGAATCTGGCAATACTAATGTGAAGAAAGAGAGAAAATGCAGAATACTAAGAACATTGGCTAAAGGCATGAAAGCAACTAAACTATCATCTTAAAGCAAACATCACAAAGAGAAATCTCTAAGTTGTGTGAACAATTAAATGAAATCTGATTTTGTCAACAATAATTCTTAATGATGAATGTCAATCTGCATTGGATAGATCTGATAACTGGGCTAGAGATTTAGTCCTTCATGTAAATTGTCAACTAACATAGAAGACAATATGGATGAGGTGGAGTACTGTTTGGAGTTAATATTGGATACCATAAAATTATAGCTCCCTTCAAAGTTGATGATGGGTAAAGATAAATGCACAAAATTGGTGCAAGTCACAATCAGAGAGCATTTAGCACCTCACTTCAGTCACTTTTCCACCTTCATAACATAGCTTCCTTCTGCCTTTTTTTTTGATAACTATTATCATGGTAATTCTTCTGATGAGATTTCCTCTTTGCTACCTAAACTTTATGAATTTAAGTGCCATACTAGATTGACAGCATGATCTCATTATATTACAGTTGAAATTGCTAGATGTAACCATAAGTTCTATGCTAACATTTTCTTTTCTTGAACTTAACTTATGGAACTCTCTTCTGGGTTCTTGCATTCCAATCAACTTTGATCTTCAAAAATTTAAATGTAATGCCAATCATTATCTTCTGTCTTCTTAATTCTTCTTCTTTCATTGTTCTCTCACCTTAATAATGTTTTATTTTTCTGTTTTCTCACACTCAGTAACCCTTTGCAACTTAGTGGCTTTATTGACTTGCTTGGGGTGAAATGATTAAAAAATTAACTAGTCTGCAAAGCTTACTATTGCTGAATTTGCCAAAAAGTTTTCAGACACAAGTTAAACAGAATAACTTACCTCCCAGCCTTTTCAGGTGTAAATAGAAAACTTGTGGCTCATCACTAAAGAGAAATATTTAAGAATGGAAAACAAGTAATGTTAAAGTTGAAACAGTAGAAAAGTTAGAATCAAAGGTGAAAAGCAACATAACAATATATAAAATCCTAATTTATTCAAGTATGTGTGATATTGTGTTATAATCAAAAATATGTTTTTTATAGTCTATATTTTTGTACTTATTTATAAATTAAAATTCACATTGTACTTTGTATAATTAACATTGATACCCACCAAATAATTATCAATATTTTTAACATATATAGATATTATAAACTGAAACTCTTGAGATGTATTGCTTATATAAATATATCCTGATAGTTTTACCAACATCACTTGGTTAATTCTTTTTATTGTGAAAACATTGACTTGTATAGAAAAATCTGATATAAAGGTATTATCCAAACAGTAATGATAGCAAAAATTTCATACACCTTGTTATGTTTTGCATATCTCTCTGCATAGTAGTAGTAGTCATAGTACAGTTGTCCGTGTCCTGAATAACAACTGGGTTTGCTAGGTATAGCCATTCCCTATGTTCACTAGTTGTTCTCTATTTATACTTGTCTTTCTAATTTGCATACAATACTACACACCTATTGTCAAACTTGACACAACAACTCTTACATTTATTTACTTTATTTGTTACCAGAAATTAAATGTATTATAGTCTAATTTATAATAACTTTAAATTGCAACATTCTAATACATCCAGATATTTATTGGATCAAAAGTATTCACATGACTGACAATAGAGAGTCATATCATTATTCTCATTTCAACAAACAAGTTACTACTCATAAAATGCTTAAACCAGTTTCAGGCAGTAAAGTCCATTAATTTCTTTCTTCTACATAAATTCTGCAAACAGCTGCATTAATTTTGAGGTCATTTGAAAATAATGGCTCAAATTTTCCAAAGTTCCAATACCATTAAAAATAAAAGGTATGGGTGAACATTATTTATAACAATATTACATGCAAAACAAAGCAACAGCACTCAACAAAATTACATTTCAAACTAGACACAACATATTACAATGCATTTAAGCATATGGTTCCATTGATAACATTTCTTTCTCTCAAGTGGTCATATAAGTCATAGAACTGCATTACAAATTTACAACCTGCATCTGCTATTCCACAAATGTTATCATCACATAGCAAACTTCTGTGTAAACAAAACAGTATGCCATCTTTGACAGTGAACATCTCTGTTGTAATGTCCATATAACCACTCTGCTTATGGCTCATGTGAGCTGAAAGCATAGATTGACAACCAATATAATAAAGAAATATCCAAATGTTGGACAATTTTTGTCTTTATTTTCTCTTGAAACTAAAGCCAATATATGACACTTAGAAAGGATCATGATAAAACATAATAGGCCTTCATTGTCTGTTATATTTAACAATATATGTTTGAATATATATATATTGGAAGTGCTATCTGATGATCCGGCATTCTTTAAAATGGCTCTGGTGAAATAAATTATTATAATGGAACCTTAAAGTAATCTGTTTTTCTTTAATATATATATTATCTAGCTGATTTATAGATATTCTTTAGATGTATACAGCTTTGAAATAAAGTTATGTAAAAACTGAAAATACTTTTGATACAGCCAATTATTATAAATATGAAAGTATCTTTGACATGCATAAGGACTTTCAACAGCAGCAACAGCTAAAATTTATAGCACATATAACTCAAAAAGAAAATAAAAACAGAATCAAGATGTTGACATTCCAAATTACATGAAACCAAAGGTTAAGAAGGAAATCTCCATTAATACTGAAAAGGGGCAATAAAAGCAAAAACAGGAGAAACCTATTTTCCTGAAAAATCGTTTTAATAGAAAAACTAAAAAATTCAAATAACAGTAGCACTTGGTACTCAGTCAATGAATTACTGTTTCCAGATAAGAAAATGGCTAATATTACCAATTTTGTTTTTTAATTCTTTCACCTCAAGCAAGGCAATAATGCCACTAGGATGCAAGAGGTTACCAGGAATGAAAAAGAATGAAAAAACTTTAGTGAGGAGAAAGAACAACAAAGAAACAGGACTCAAGAAGACAGAAGATTGTGATTGGCATTGCATATAAATGTTTGAAGATTGTAGATTGGTAAGAAAGCAAGAAATCGCTAGTTCCACAGCTGAGAAGTGCAAGAAAAGAAACTATTAGAATAGAACATACAGTAGAGGGACCAAGGAGGAAAGCTCATTAGAAGAATTGCTATGAAAATATTTCGAGAAAAGATAGAGGGAGGCCATGT